TCATGTAAGCTATCACTTGTTAGTATGACGAGGGTAATTTCATTCTTTATGGAACTAATAACTCGTATGGGATCCAAACTTGTGTCAGTCAGTTTCAAGATGTGAGATGCTACCAGTAAGCTATTCGGGTCACTGTTCTACTTTATTTATTATAACATTGATATGGTTGATTTAGTGGCTGGAGTGACAATATCTGATGGAGAACATTTAAAAATTGGTCAGTTAACGGTAAGTCGTTTTTACTGACTTATGTACGTTTTCTTGTATTCTGAATGAACTGACGCTTAGTGTAAATAGTTCTCACAAATGAACACAGTGTTGCACAAAGCTGACTACATAAATATCTACTTAGTAAATGAGTGTTACATCCACACTTGTTTAGTATTCCTTTAGCCATTGCATTTCACTAAACTTGAAGTAATACAGAATGAAGACAGGAAAAAGCGTAGATGATATTCCAAACGAATGAAATTACAAAAGATACGGTAGCAAAAAGACAACACTGTTGCCTCGAAAAGGCAGTGAGTAGGAGTTCCCTGACAGTGGTTGTAAACACATGTTCACAAAAGAACATTTCGTGCGGGAGAGAGGACATTCCTTACGACCGGTCGAATCACAGCATTTTTCCTGTTAAACAAATCAATTACACATATTCTCCCTGTGAACGTTTTTCAAACGTCTATCATGATACTTAATCGTCAATTCAAATACTTTTATGAAATCAAAACATAACTGGTTGTGGATAGCAGTACACTAACAACTTTATAATGCACATGCAATCAGACGATAGACTCACTTGATCAACAAGGCTGTGGGTCCAGGACCTGATCCCACCATAAATGTGTATCAGTTCATGCTATAACATTTCAGATCATCACAACTATAGGAAATCAAGTGATCCAATGGCAGTAGGTAGTTTGATGAAGTAATCATTGTTATCTCATGTGACGAGCTAGTTGGACTGAATTGGTTGGAGTAGTAGATGTTCAAAGTTCTTCTTTTTCTGATGATGGAGCATGATAAGACCAAAGTCTGGACAATGAAGTCCAAAGAATTAGCCACACCACTGTAGTGAAGTCTGTTATTAATAAAATCACTTTTGCTTGTACTTTAGATATATTATAAAATTGTCTCGAAATAGAAAGAAATAGGAGTTATCAACAGTCTAGTATTCAATTGAGTAACTACTCATAGAAAGATTAGTTCCAAGTTATTGTAACTTGTGGTCACATGTTTGTTAATTGTAACAGTCATTATGTATGTCTAACCCAAAATTCATCTCGACGTTATACAGTCGAAGTCGATTTCCAGTAAACTCTAGACGCTAGTTATGTTGGAACTCATCATCAAAGTGTAGTCACAATTCTGAAACAATTGATCCTCCTCTATTGACTAAAATGCTACATGTCTCTTCACTTCGTCATGAAGTAAATGATGTTAATAGTGAGCGCTTTAGAACAGAACTAATCTCCTAGAAGACTGAAACATTCCATGTGTACAGTTCTGTCATGACATAAGCTCTTGAACCACCAGAATGATATATTCTATGTTAAACTGTGACTGAATAGCTCGGTTTAACATTTCGGTTTGTGACAATGAATAGCTTAGCTTCAAATGCCATATCTGATTTCCTTAAGATTAGAGATTCATCTTTCTAATGAGTGTTAATGAACACGAAACCATGAAATCCTTCCAGTTGATTACCTTGCATCATTTAAACATTTTATTTATGAATTTTAAAGCTGACTAATATTATTTTACATAATTAATATTTTAATACTTGAGTGCATGATGTTGCGCACTAGTGACTAGCTTCAAGATGGATTTCATGGAGTTCTAGTAAGAAGCCAAGACCATTGGAGTTCAATTCGTGTCAGGTGGAGTCAGTTATCCACCTCAGACTATGGAGGAAGAGTTGCACAATATCATGAATCGACTAAAGTTATACATCGACACCGTTGTAGGCCGGCTCAATGATCAAGGGTCAAGCGCGATAAGGAAGGTTCTGCGTTGAACTCTCCCTTAATGGATCGTTGATTCGCACTGCTGAGGAATCTAATACTAGAACAAAAGGACCGTCCAGTGCTTCAATGGTGGTTTCGCTTAGATCGATTCATGAATTCAACTATTAAAATTACTACACTCTCCACAAATCTTCATTCTGATAATAATTAATATTCTTATACCCTTATATTTCTATATTTCTAATCGTAGAATGAACAGTTCACGTCAATTCTGATTATAAACTGGAATAATCTTGAGGAAATTGCACCAGTCAAAGTGAATTAAACTAATTAACCACAATGATTCATAATCTCAAAGTGTTTATTTACATGGATCATTTACATTTAAGACAAAAATCGTCGCTTTCTTTTAACATGAAACTGAGTTTGAAAACGAAAAAAATAATCACCATTACACATTGATATATTCTGTGACGACGGGCCACGGGTGAACTCGAGGATGCTGTAAGAGGCTCAGAAGGAGCCGAAGACATTCCGTCCAATCACCTTTCAGAGGAATGTTCTAGAATTCCAACGTGTAGCTTCCTGATTGGACAATGCTAATAACCCCCTGTATATGGATTGGTGGACTGCAGTGATGATTTCGTTCTTGCTAAAGCTATAAATACCTGACAATTTTATACTATGATTGACACTGTTCAGAATAATATTCCTTTCATTAGTCTTCTGTCTTCTTACTGCGACTTGGAAGGGTTTCGGTTTTCTAGTGCTCTGCTATATGCGGTATTTCAAGAAATCAGCCTTTAAAATATAACATATTCAAATGGATTGGTTTTTTTGTTTTAATTGTGGTTATGGGGATTGGTGATCGGTGTAGGAATAGGTTGAAAGGAAGGACAAAGTGATCGGACTGGAATGTATTTTACCGACTTTCGAATCTAATTAATACTGACAGATCCCGGTTATTGGTCTAGAGGTTAAGCATATTTTTGTGGAACTAAAGATCTTAAGTTCGAGTCCCACATGAGAGATCGTGCGTGCACATTGTTAAAGAGTCTTATATTAGGATGAAATGGGCATCGAGAACTTCCAGGTTTTCACCAGTGGTCTAACATTGATCGACTCATGGTTTCTATGAAATGAGTGATATGAAGTGTAGATTTCGTGGTTGAGGTTATTTGATTTAAGAGTAATCAAAGCACAATGTGAGATTCATGTTTTTCTTGTTTCGGACTCACCAACTGGATGTACTTGTGACTGTATTGATATTCTCACAGAGACTACAACCCAATACCTTTGGATGAGAATAACTGAAGCGTTATTCATTGGGCAGCTGAGTAGGGTTTACTACTGGCTGATGCAATGGTCACGATTTTTCAGTCATAATTGAACAATCCTATTATCAATATTGATGACTGGATTTCGACCAGTCTGCTGTATGAACGACTTGTAACCTTACATATATTGGGGCAGAAGATACACAACTCGTCATGATTAATCACCATCCAATCCTCATTATCTACAATGGGTTAATTCTGACACTTACTGGTATTGATATTACCGATGTTTCACAATAGTTGTATTTCTTGACTCTGAGATATAATTCGTCACCTTTGATGGAGGTTTTGTAACAGGGTTTATCGAGGAAATATGTAAACCTCGTTAAGGCTTTCTACATGAACAATATTGATCGTGGAAGTGTTTATAACGAAATGTCATCGAAACTAATAACATCAACCCGTGTTTATCGAGGCTGTCCACTTACACCATTTTATTCAACTACTTTACAGACATTCTTCTAAAAAATCCTCTTCTAATTTTCCAATATCTTATCTGCGACCAGAAGATTCAGTCGTCGCCTTTGATTACAAGGGTGATATAGTTCTGTTTGGTGAAGACTGACAAAACCCCTAGTCTTTAGATCTTGAGGTAGATTGAAAGTATATTTTCGGTGCGTTAACTTAAGACTAATTTTTTAAACGCCATTACTGATGTTCGGGAACGAAGTAGCTAAAGGTGTCCCGGGAGTCTCATTAACCCTACTGAACTGGTTGTCTGTAGGAATATGAACATGGCTTCAGAAAATTTGCTAGTTTTATGGAAACATGTATCGATAACAGAGTTTGTCTGCTAATCAAGAGTTTAGAATACTGTTCAGCAGTACCTTTGACATTACTTTGTATCAATGATGCAGTTTGTCTGATTGGAAGACATTCGTAATTTACTAGCATTTCATTAGAGGTGTTTTCAAACGATTACTGGCGTAAATTAATACTACCGAGTAAGCAATGCTGGGAATAGTCATAATAAGATAAGATTGTGAATTTAAAGCAATTAGTCCCTTTGATAAATTTCGATAATGTAAGAAGAAGACTAAGATTATCGTCTTCTTATTACATTATCGAAAGATTGTGAATGATCACTAACCAAGCAAGATGGTTTAAACATGTGTTGCATGACACCAGCCACTATCCACCTACACAAATGATGTCAAGGCAAGAACACCTTGGAATGCCACTAAGAATAATCAAACCGAGACAGTATCAGTCCATGAAATCAATAATGTTTCATATGGGTCATATTGACAAATTTAGATTATCACAACTAATGTCTAGATACCAGATATTGTGATCCATAAGTGGTCAGATTGATTGTTTCTCAACGAGGAGAGCTGGAAATTCGTGTTGATGAATAAATAGGGTTACTTTCAATAGCATTACAAAGTATTTCTAGTCATTTACAATTTGAGAAAGAAAAAAACGAAATAGACAACACAGAATAAACGGAGTAAACATTACTGCAGATAGATTTGCCGTCATACAGTTAATAAGCTTTTTTTGTTTGTTATAATCTACAGTTTTGATTAGATTTCGCTTACAATTAATCGAATTAACCAACATAGTGTCTGTCAGTATAAAATAGTTGACGAAGGTAATTCTACTCATATTAATAAAATGAATAACCAGAAAATGAAAGATCCTTATCATTTCATTGGTGAAATGGTATCTAGTCCTAGATGTATGTCATTTCAAGGTCATTTAAGAGTACGCGGTAACAATGAATATAGTGAACAAATGCTCAATGTAATTTTATTTTTCAGAGTATCAACAATTTTCTACTTAAATGATAATTCATATAAAAAGAACGAGTTCCTTCATACTTTCTATATGAAACATTGAATATTGTAGCTGAGGTTTTCTGTATATTGAATTGTCATAGTGAATGTAAACGATGATCTGTCTATTTTATAGTTTGAGAAAACAATTCAATCTAGTTGAATTCTACTTTAACATCAATGATCAAGTTCAGACTTAATGAGTGTACGAGTATAGTTCAAGGAATCATCAAATCAAAGAATTGTAAGGTGTAAACTGTTAGTGAACAGATTCCAACCCACATTTATCCTTTATACAAACACTACTCAGAATAAAACTGCATAAGTCTATGTGACATTGGATATTGTAAATTACATAACTAGTTGTCATAGTGATTACAAAATAGGCCACTTCGAACTCATGGAAACGTATTAGTTGTTCACATGAGTTTAATTATTATTGATGAACTATGGAGGCAATGATGAATAAAATTTGTTTGTTTTTTCTTCTGAAAATACCAAGTTATGATATTTCAGACGTTTGGTCGGTAAAGACTAAACTCACTTTTCTGTATAAGCCAATTAATGTAATTAGCAAAGTTTGGTTTCCAATATTTGGCATAAATACAGTCTTACTTGAAACTGCTCAAAATGTTTTATCCAAATGAATCATTCATAGAATGATCAGATTTAAGGTGAAATTGCTTCGTTTAAAGATGATAACATGTGAATTTAGGGAATGTAATATCAGATCACATCGTTCATGTTAAGATAACTTGACATGAAATTGTCACGTCAATGATGAGAGATGAATATGAATTAGATAGAGTAAGAGACAGTAATGTAATATGTAAAATTATATAAATTAGGTACAAATTGGTAAATCGGTTGATGGTGGTGGGGGGAATGTTGAATAAATTTCTCATGGTGTTTCTTATGTTTCAATAGTAATAAGGTGTGTGAATGAGTTTAAGCTTAGAAGAGGGTTGTACGAGCATGAATCGAATTATCTCACCGTATCACATACCTAATGATCATTCACTAAATAATCCAGAAGTTGGTAAAACGAGCTGTCGAACATACTTCTTCTTCAACAAAGTTTTTATTTACTATCACAAACAATCCTTAATTCACATACTGTAATTTTTCAACGATGCTACTTACTTACTTACTTACTTACGCCTGTTACTCCTCGTGAAGGAGCATAGGCCGCTCACCAGCATTCTCCATCCAACCCTGTCCTGGGCAATCCTTTCTAGCTCCGTCCAGTTGTAATTCATCGTTTTCATATCTGCTTCTATTATCCGACGCAATGTGTTCTTTGGCCTTCCTCTTTTTTGCTTCCCTTCAGGATTCCAAGTTAGGGCTTGTCTCGTGATGCAGTTTGACGATTTGCGTAATGTATGTCCTATCCATTTCCATCGTCTTTTCCTAATTTCTTCTTCAGCTGGAAGTTGGTTTGTTCTCTCCCACAGAAGGCTATTGCTGATGGTATCCGGCCAATGGATGTTGAGTATCTTGCGTAGACAGCTATTTATAAATACTTGTACTTTCTTGATTGTGGTTGTTGTAGTTCTCCAAGTTTCAGCTCCATACAGTAGAACTGCCTTGACGTTCGTATTGAAGATTCTCACTTTGATATTGGTTGAAAGTTGTTTTGAGTTCCATATGTTCTTCAATTGTAGGAATGCGACCCTTGCTTTGCCGATCCTCGCCTTTACGTCTGCATCTGAACCTCCTTGTTCATCGATGATGCTTCCCAGGTATGTGAAGGATTCTACATCTTCCAGAGTTTCGCCATCAAGAGTGATTGGATTGCTGTTCTCCGCTTTGAATTTGAGGACCTTGGTTTTCCCTTTGTGTATGCTGAGGCCTACTGATGCAGAGACTGCTGCTACACTGGCTGTCTTCATCTGCATCTGTTCGTGTGTACGTGATAGGAGGGCTAGGTCATCTGCGAAGTCCAAATCGTCTAATTGATTCTGAGCTGTCCATTGTATTCCGTGTTTTCCTTCAGATGTTGAGGTCTTCATAATCCAGTCGACCACCAGAAGAAAGAGGAAGGGAGAGAGTAAACAGCCTTGTCTGACTCCGGTCCTTACTTGGAATGCATCTGTCAGCTGTCCTCCATGCACTACTTTGCACTGTAGTCCGTCGTATGAGTTCCGGATAATATTGACAATCTTCTCAGGAACTCCGTAGTGTCGAAGAAGTTTCCATAATGTCCTCCTATCTACACTGTCGAATGCCTTTTCATAATCAATGAAGTTGATGTATAGTGATGAGTTCCACTCAACTGATTGTTCGACGATGATCCGTAGTGTTGCAATTTGGTCTGTGCACGACCGATCCTTACGGAATCCAGCTTGTTGATCTCGAAGTTGGGCGTCTACTGCATCCTTCATCCGGTTCAGCAACACTCTGTTGAAGACTTTCCCTGGTATTGACAGTAGTGTTATGCCTCTGTAGTTTTCACATTTGCTCAGATCTCCTTTCTTTGGAATCTTGACGAGGTGTCCTTCTTTCCAGTCCATCGGCACTTGTTCCTCCTCCCAAATCTTTTTGAATAGAAGATAAAGCATGCTTGTGGTTGCTTCGATGTCTGATTTCAGTGCTTCAGCTGGTATGTTGTCGGGTCCTGCTGCTTTCCCGTTCTTGATTTGTCTGACGGCCATTCTAATTTCTTCCGTAGTTGGTGGATTGACATATATAGAAAGATCTGTATGCGCTGCTTCGATGTTCGGCGGATAAGCCATTAATAATAAAATAATTCATTAGAGCCGGCCTATTCAGGAGTTCCTCGAAGTACTCTACCCATCTGTTATGCCGTTGTTGAATTTCAGTGATTGGTTTGCCTTCTTTGTCCTTGACCGGTCTCCTTGGTTTACTGTATTTCCCTGCTAGTTTCTTTGTTGTATCGTAAAGCCGTTTCATATTTCCTTCTCTAGCAGCTTTTTCAGCCGTCGTTGCTAGTTCTTCCACGTATTTCTTCTTGTCGGCTCTAATGCTCCTCTTCACTTGCTTGTTTGCTTCTATGTATTCAGCTTGTGATTGGACTTTCTCTGCTCGTGTTCGGCTGTTGTTTATTGCTGCCTTCTTGTACTTCCTTTCTTTGATCTTGTCCAGTGTTTCTATAGAGATCCATTCCTTATGATGATGTTTCTTTAGGCCCAGAACCTCTTGACACGTTGAAGTTAATGCTTCCTTGATGCCTTTCCAGTTGTCCTCCATAGTAGTTTCTTCTTCTTTCAGTAGATCTTGTAAGGCTTGGAACCTGTTGTTGAGAGCTATCTTGAATTCATTGAGTTTGTCAGTATCTCGAAGGAAGGCTGTATTGAACCTTTGTAGTGCTGTTTGTCCACTTGTCCAGTTCTTTTTTAGCTTCAGTTTTAAATTGGCTACAACTAGGTGGTGATCTGAAGCTACGTCAGCACCTCTCCTGGTTCTCACATCTTCCATTGTCCTTCGGAATTTTTTGTTGATGCAAATATGATCTATTTGGTTCTCTGTAGTGTGGTCCGGTGAGATCCATGTAGCCTTGTGTATACGCTTGTGTGGAAATATTGTGCCTCCTATGACCAATTTGTTGAATGCACATAGATTTGCAAATCTTTCTCCATTTTCGTTTCTTTCTCCCAGTCCATGTCGTCCCATAATATCTTCATATCCAGTGTTGTCTATTCCAACTTTGGCATTTAGATCTCCCATCAGAATGGTGAGGTCCTTTGTTGGCATTTCTCAATGATTGACTGCAGCCGCTCGTAGAACTGATCTTTAATGTCGTCGTTGCTATCATTGGTGGGTGCATAACATTGGATAATATTCATTGTGATCCCCTCCTTCTTTGTTTTGAATGATACTTTGATGATTCTGGATCCGTGGGATTCCCATCCTACAAGTGCATTTCGTGCTACTTTGGACAGCATAAGAGCGACTCCCTGAGTGTGTGGAGCATTGTCCTCTTCGTGACCGGAGTATAGCAGCATCTCTCCCGTAGCTAGCCTTTTCTGTCCAGCTTGGGTCCAGTGGGTTTCGCTGATTCCCAGTACTGCTAAGTTGTATCTCCTCATTTCCATTGCTATTTGACTGGTCTTCCCGGTTTCCCACATTGTTCGAACGTTCCATGTACCTATAAAAATTTTTGCTCTGGTTGTTAGAAGGGGCATCGGCCTCGTGGCTTCCGAAGGAACTCGGCTTTCACCATGAAGCGTCATAATTCTTCTAAATGAAGACCTTCTAACTCCCAGGGCAGAGTTTAAATGGTTTGGATTATTTTTTCTGGTAAGCGTTTTTTTAGCGAGTTAGTTTTCTACGGGATGGGGACGCTAACCCCATGCCCAACCCTCCTCCTTTACCCGGGCTTGGGACCGGCAGCAACCCTATAAGAGCTACAGGCGGAGTTTTTTCAACGATGCAGTTTGTCTTAAATCTGTAGCGTGGCGTCGAGTTGAGATTAACTATGAACACCGCTACGAAGAAACACGTGCCAAATAAATCAGAAGGCGAAAGTTGGACGTAACCAAATAGATCCATAAAATCCCCGAGAAGCCGAATATCAGAAGACAATTAATGGACCAAGTGGAGATATATTTGGTGGCGATCTCGTGGTATCGAAAGGATACCGAGATCGTGCCAGGATACAAGCTTGGTTACAGAACGTAACCGAATTCGCGCGAAGTCACAATCAAAGGTTTAAGAATCAGAATGGAAGCACAATATAGCTGTCATTAGCACAGTCAAACAAAAGCACATTAAAACAAGCACTGGTACAGTTGGTTATAATAATAATTGTTTTTATTAAACCAGTCGTGTTCTCGTGATAAATGTGAGTCACTACAAATCTGACCACTTTTTGGATGATCCATTTGGCAAAGATGATTGTAGATACTGAAGAGAATTTATTGAAAAGTATATTCTTCATTCATTTATATTAAAAATTCCTTAGTAATTAAAATGTATTGATTATATCCCAGTGATATCGTAACGAGCAAAGAAGTGAAATGGGGAAGACCGATTGATTGTTTAATGCAAAATACATCATTTGCACATCTTCTTTGAATCGTCTCTTACAAGCTTCATTGTTCCTTCACTCGTATTGTTATCTTGATTACTTTTAGTTTTCTTCTGTCTTCTCTTCACTTTAATCCTCTCAGCCTTCGGTTCGTAAACATTCCACTTCCGACTAGTGTTACATACTACTTATATTTACATACATTAGTAGCATACAACACATCTCCGAATATTATGCATCAAAATCGAATACAGAATGTTCATAGAATTCGGTATCTTTCTGAATTTGGAAGTATTTTATAAATTGATTATGTGAATATTGTTGTTTAAAAGAAAAACACTGTTATATACAGACAACAGAAACTTTATGTATGATCTTCATTGTTACTTCGATAAACTTAAGTTGAGTCAAATGAACCTTGATGAGAATCCAACTTACATTTTGCTTCTAACATTTATGTAATTACTCTTAATAGTCAATTACTTTAGATGAATTCTTCATTTGTTCTTTCGATCAATATTCTGTATTACGTAACTTATTTCACAGTTTATTCTTCTATTCTCCCTGATGCTTAACGTTAGTTTTCAGCGCTTAAAAAAGGGTTCATTTTGAATTCCTATCAGTAATTATTACAAAAGTCAATGACAGACTAATCCAAAATGATTGTTTAAAAATTATGGTTACTGTGTTTAGTAGGATTCTTGAGATATGGATTTATTAAGTGAGTACACTAATTGATCACTAAGCAGCAGTCAACGCTATGTTTGTCTAGTCATCAGTGTTAACTCCGCCTCAGTAAACTAGTTAATGTTCGAATATTTGAATGTAAACCTCTTTCTCTGTGACAGTGAATGAAGTAGGTTCCAACCCCATGGGGACTGCTAGTCGTTACAGACATTTTCTAGTGATGATTTTCAAATATCTCAAAACCCATCTCAAAGAGGACTTCCCGCTAACAGTCTCTGACTGCCTCATTCATAAATCGACTAATATGTTTATATGGATCACACTGAATTTGAAACCGCTTGATCACCAATTATTCAGTATTTATATTGTTATTCGAATACAAAATGTCCACCGGATATATTATTGCAGAATTAGGATAAACTCCAGTGCATGTACTTCCATTCTAGTGTTGATTCCCACCCCCGGAATTCAAAACCATTAGTATTAGCTTCAAACCCTCTGGAGATAATGGACCAAGCTGTTGAAACAAAAATTATTAAGTTCGAGTTCCGACGTGAACACTAACACTAGAATAGAGGTACATTCAACTAACGAGTCCAAACTGTATTTCACTCGTATCTTGGATTACACAACCAACAATTATCCATTTTTACTTAACCACTGGTGTATGTATCGGAAAATAGTGTATTTTGTTTTGAAATGACAATTACAAATAACTGAAAATTAGGCAGCATCGTACAGTATTTTCGTCTGCGTTCGGTGCTATTCAAAATTGTATCACACTGATAGAACATTAGATCGAACTCAAAACGTTTATTTCGTGTAGCTCGATTATAACTTTTTGATATACTGTGATTCATCTTGATAATTTTCGGTCAGTGCGATAGACAGAATAACCATCGTTCATCCACATAAGCAATAGCTAGTTTCACTTGCGACAATCTCTTACTAAAATGCCTCTGGTATTCTTATGGAAATTGGTCAGCAGTGAACATGCATCTGTTGGTATGAGAGGACATTTATTCGGATGATTGCGTATTATGTGAGTAATAGAACGCGATTCAGCGATCCAAAGATATTGTAATTTCCAGAATACCTGAATATCCCATATCCCTTCGTTGTAATGTATCTCGAGCGCTCATCCGATACGTGGATGAAACAACCATTGTTTTTGACAAGTGAGTTTGTTTGGCCTATGACTTTAAAAAAACCTAATTAGATAATGATGGAAGAGACGGAACAACGAGTACCATATACAAATATAAATTCAACTATCGAACAGGTCCTCTTGAATCAGTAATTCCAACGAGTTCTGTCTGAAAATATTAACATTACAAACTTTCTTCAGCTAAACATCTTATGAATGAGTGAGTACTCTAGAGTGGTTTCATACCTAGCATGCTATTACTCAGTGGCGTGTACACACGACCATTCTGGAGGTCGAATCCACCATTGTGAAGTCATTAAACTCCACTGATTTATTATTCATTTGTTCTTGTATCCAACTTCAGATAACCTTTTGACACTTTCTTGTTAACACTAAAATATGTAGAATACTCAGTGGATCACATAGGACTATTTAAGCGATATGATGCTTTGAGACGGTCTCCAGTAATTATTTCGTGATTTACATACAGGACTACACTTATTTAACTCAAGGAAAATATTTTTTATGGAATTCGGGTTGGATGTGAGGCAATCACCTAACAAAGACAATGAAACATGGTTGAGCGACGTCGTGGATTAATTCAAGACAAACATTAAGACAGTTAGATTCCGGCTCAGTGGTCTAGAGATTGAGAGTTCACGTGCGAAACCGGAGGTCTTTGGTTAGGTTTCTGAGAGCGAAGTCGCCGTAACGCACTTTCAAGGAGTTCTAAACAAGGACGAAACAGCCTTCCAGTGGTTCTAGGTTGTCTAATTATGGTTGGTTTATGACTTCAATGAAATTTTCTACGGAAATTCTGTTTTTAAGTCGATTTTGTGATGACAATGGTAACTTGTTTTGTTAATTTCTGACTACAACCAATCCATGAAGTTGCACCACTGTCTACAATTGTCTTCAGTGAGTTACTATCTCACAACAGACCCGGTTGAACTCCACTGGTCACGGCTTCTCACTAGAACTTCAAGTCATACCTATTGAGTTCCGCTACTAGGACGAAACGGCCGTCCAATGCTTCCAGGTTTTCCATGGTGGTCTATCTCTTCAATCAACTCATGTATTCAACTATTAAAGTAACTTGTTTTGTTTATTTCTTTTTCCCTCAAATAACTATTCCATTCAGATTGATTCAATTCAATGTGATCATGAATAAATTGTATTCACTTGATTGATATTTACTTGGATACATTTTTGTCAATCAAATTATTGATTACTTCAAATCGGCGGTGGGGGGGAGGTCAAAGATCAAATCTTATAAATGAGTCCTATTCACTGAGTTGTTGCATCATAGTTGTATGATTACATTGACATTTAGTTTGTGTTATCAGTAAAAGTTATACAACTTCTTTTGTTCTAGTGTTTCGGTGTATCTGTTCTACTCAAAAATTAGAACAATCAAAGTGAGTAATTTGCTTATTTTCACGATTGTATTCTGTTATCATCGTATTTATTAATTGAATTCATGAGGTGACATGGTGACATGATTCAAGGGCTTCAATATAGAGTATTAGATGAAATATTGCTTAGCAGTGCTTACTAACAGCTTCACGTTCGTTGCACGACTTGAAGAATTCAGGTTCGATCTATGCTGGGGTCATGGATAGTAAACTGGTTAGAATTCTCATTCTAGAGCTCTCTGATTTATGGTGGTAGCCAACTTCAGGTCAATCAATAACGAATACTAGGTACAAATCACTAAGATTCTTGACTTTCCGATTGGAATTTCGCAAATACTTATTCTCAATACTTTTGCCCTCATGTTGAATACGCATACGATAATGGTACTTAGTTTATAAGCTCTATTTGAATAAAGTTTTCATTTTGAATTGTAAAACTGATTTATTACGATATATACAGATATATTTACCCCGCTTATACAACGCCGTTTCTTTACTTATAAATTCCTATCAATATATTTGAGTAACTCTAATCCACAATAGATCCATCTAGGCTTAAATAATTACTTGACAGTTTCCCTAAGGTTATGGCATTGGATAATCTCGTTCGGAATACCTCAAACAATACTAATTTCACTTAATTATTGCAGCTGTGCCTTGCAGAAGTACTTCGCACAGTCACTCGTTAGTACCAGCATAGTTGTCATAAGTGATCTGTGTTAATGAATAATGTTAGTTACAGTGAATAATTGGCCAATCTCACAAGGAAATCAATTCTCTTGCAAATTGTTGTTAATCTACTTTGTCAAAATCAGTGATTATATTCATTTGGCATTTGCATAACTCTTCCTTTTCTTCTGATAGATGAATGAAATCTCTACAGCATCCATTGAAGAGACACAGATTATCCAAAAAACAATCAATAACATGATAAATACTAGAAACCAACAGCACCAAATCACCATGATGGATGAACAGTCACTGAATTCTCTTCTGATTGGTATGAATCCGTCGCAAGAAATCCTTAAACTGATCCTGGCTTTATACGCTCTGAAACTACCAATTCATTCACTACCCAAAGAGAATAAAGCTACTCAGACTGAAGATCCGACAAATACGTCACTTATCTCAGGTTATACAGGACTGTCATCAAAATGTGTGAGTATTTCACAAGTGGCTTCCAGTATATTCAGTTCAAACAGAGGAAATTCAATGAACGACAGTCAAGAAAAGAATTCATGTCCATTTATTCGAGTTGTAACGCATAAAAATGGTATACTCGTTCATTTGGGCCAACTGGTCAGTTTATCTGAGGATCAGAAATCATTTATCATGCGCAATGTGATTAGTTTCGACCCGTTAAGAGTACATGAACGAACAATTTCAACATTAGAACCAGCGGAAATTCTTGCACTCACTGAATCCAAACTTCAAAGTCAACATGGTAAAAGGGGAAATTTATTGTCTGATTATTTACAAAATCAAATGATGTTCAATGCTTCAGTGAAGTAAGCTTGCTTTTCAAGTATCTTCAATTCTGTCTTAATGTATGATACTTTGGTAAATTGTTGTTTCATTTATATTAACTTTCACTCACTGCATCTGTGTGCTTTAACTACACAACCAACTACGTTCGATATATCCCAAAACAGACTAAGGCCGTCCAAATTCCCATCTCGTTCAAATCTTCAACGAGAAAGGCACCTTACTCGGACTATTGTATTTTACGTTAGATCCTAAGTTCCAAACCTACCATATAAATTTTTTATTTGACTAGTCCAAGATTTCTAATCAAATTATCATTGTTTCCTAATCTTTTGTACTATCACCAATATTGTTACTACCACTACTACTCTGGAATTCGCCCTAACGATTTCATCTTACCGTTTGCTAATGAGATGTGGTGACTTGGACCGATGTACACTTGTGTCAGGCTGTACGTTGTATATGACTGACTGATACATATGCATTAGTGGCACTACAATGTATAACTAGACACTTTTTGATACATTTGATTTACAGTAAATTATCAGAAAGGGGGTTTTGTGGATATTATATTAATTTAATAAGTGAGGTCATAAGTTAAATAAAGCTAGATCACCAAGGGAAACTTGGAAGCACTGGACGGCTGCTTCATCCTAGTATGGGACTTCCTCAGCGGTGCGCATCCACGACCCCGTACCCGCGAGACTCGAACCCAGAACCATTAGACCACTGAGCCAGCATCCAACGGTGTTAATGTCTAACTTCAACCAATCCACGAGGTTGCACCACCGTACACCATTGTCTTCAGTGAGTTGATATCTCACAACAGACCTGGTTGAACTCCACTGGTAACTACTCCTCACTAGAACTAGAACATGGAGTTCCATACTGGGACAAAACGGCCGTCTAATACTTCCAGGTTTTCCATAGTGGTCTAGCTTCAAGTGACTCATGATTTCAACCATTGGAATTTGTTGTTACTGATTTTAAGTGCCATAACACAGAATTATTCATAGCAGAGCAGTTGCTAACCTCCCCTATTTACACATAAAGCTTGAGTTGAGAATCATTCCCAGATTTCCATTCTTTCATCTTCGTCATTCCCTTTGAAATTTACTTCAAACCAATTCTCCTTCATTGGCTCTCGTTTTGTTAATTTCCATTCTCCAGTTGTGTCGATTTCACCAATTCTTTTTGAATAAATCATTCTGCTGACTGATTTAGCTTTACATAGAAATGTGTACAGATAATTTAAGGTACATCATTTCTCTACTTTAAACTTTATGCAACCAACCTTCTATGATGAATTCTTCGAGTGCAGTATTTATTGTGGGGACGATGAATTGCTTGTACACACTTGTTTCAACTATCCATGCAAATGTGTTAATATATTAGCTGGCCAGAAGATTCAGCTTTATGGTTTTTTTAGTTGATGTACTGCCGTGGTTTGAAATGATTTAATACACCCCATAAGCCAGGTACTGCTTCGGACTGAGTATACCAAAACTGTAGGATGTGTGAAAACCTCACTTAGTGACATCACATTGACTGACTTAGCATTCATTTTGACAAATAAAGTTTTTTGATTCTATGGTAACTTTTATTTTCATGAATATTAATGTACCGATATAGAGAAAGCTTTCATGTTTATACACGTGCGTGTTTTGTGAATCCAGCTCATCGTGTGAGAACAGTAAACATGTGGATATATCAGAGCAAAAACATGAGGCAGTGCACGGTCCGTTACTTATCACTCCCAGTGATGTCCTTATTCGTTTAAGTGAAGTACGCGAGTTAAGCATTGTTCCAGTAATTCGCTTTGACCATCCTAAGCAAATGCGAAAAGTCAGCTTGAAGGATGGATCTGAAAGAATAACTGAAGTCAAGAAATATGGCCCCAGTCAAGACATCGTTAATACAAGTAAATTGTCAGAGAGTACAAACAAGCGGTCAGATTCATCATTACAGTGTAATGAATCTACGGATATTACCAACAGCTCTAAAAGTCTAGATCCATGTGACGATACTGATCAATTAAGTGAAGTGATGACTAACGGCTTTTCTAAACGCAAGGAAATCGACCAGGAATTTGGCAAGAAGACTTCAATGAGGAAAGAAAAGAACAAGGTGAAAGAGGAAGTTGAAAGACTAGAAAAAGGAAAAGGGAAGTCGAAATCTTCGATGAAGCATTTAGAATTCTCCGAAAATAGATCTACCACACAAATAAGCTGCAATAACAGTACGGACTGTAACAACAAACAAAGTGTCCAACAAAATCTACAAAAACAAGTCCCAGTAGAACAGAACAAAAACAGTGAAGCAAAACCACTATCTTTACACAAAACAAGAAGACGTAACACATCTGCAGAAAGTAGAAGGCGACGAGAAAGACGTCTTTTGAACAAGCGAAGATATTCAGAGGTATGTTTTTGGATTAGAGTTAGTTTTGTTTTTACATCAGCCATAGTTTTTGGTCGATTGATGGTTCCGAGTGTTACCTGAAAAGAATTGTGATTGTTTGCAGAAATTTAGAAATATCTATGGTAAACCTTTAAATGACTGTTGACTTGACCAAAGTCATTTATTGGTTCATTATTTTGATAAGGAAGATTAATAGTATCGCTAGTTATCCTCGATTTAAAGGCTCGAAATGGATTACGCAAACTTGTGTTTAGTTAAAATTGAGATGCAATAAATAGAACGTTTCATCATGACCAGGTGGATTTATTTCAACAATAAAAGTAACCTAAAATACATTTTGAAGTACTAGACATTTGTCGTAACTAATTATAGGAACTGTTATGATTTATCAGTCTTTGTCGATGTTTTCTATATTTTGTGACCAGTGACCTCGCTTCGATCTTCTTGGAACTTGTCAGAGCTGCATGTACCTGAGTATACTAGTGATGATGTTCTCAATGAATTCATGTCTCACCTCAAACACCATTATTAATAGACCTCAAGTACACCCAACTGACGATAAATTCCCAATTTTGTTAAATCTTGTGCTTATAAAAAACAGTGAAATCGACTGCATGCTCAGTTATTTTAATAATAGCCTATTAAATTAGCGTTGTTTAGCCCTAGTTACATACTTTTTTCAGTGATTTAATGTTTACCACCCAGTAACGGTTGTCAGGGTGGCATTTTCTTTTCATTTCGTTCGAATATGTGTTAACTGAAATGTGTGCTTAACTCAAAGGAATTTAAAACTAACATACTCTGTGATGTTTTCAAACATTTAAATAAGGGTCGAGTGAAAGATATCAGGTTCTTTTTCAAACGCTCATCTTTCAGATTATTGAATTGTGATCCAATAATCCCCATTCCTAGCCTTAGTCTAGTCGACATTAAGCTAGGTGACTGCACAAAGTGCTGACTGTTGAAAAATTCAATATCAGGGCAAAATGACTACATAGTGCATTCTAGTTTACGCTGGTACTACAACCAACATCCATCCGTAATGAAAGTCGACCCACATAAAACATTTTTCATGTAACACAGTTCCTTCTGTCAAGACCGTTTGAAGCATATTTGGAATGGTCCCTACAATGTAACTTGTACTATTGTCTAATTGTTGATTTTTTCAAAGAATCTGAACTTCTTCTATAGCCTCAGGTGATTAGAACGATCTTTAAGGAGAGATATTTTTTAGAATTTCAGTATTCAGAAAGATGAAATACTTTCTTCCCACTTCATCTAACACAGTGAGGAATGGTGAGGTTAGATGTAGGATACTAGGTAACGACTGAAAATTCTTCGATGAATTCTTGTTGTTTCACCCACTGGGGCTTCTGCGGTATACGTTCAAAGTACAAAATTCACCACATAACCTGATATGAACTCCTGACTGGCGTGACAGTCGGTCGGAAGCTAGCTAGGGGCTATTAAACAAAGTTACTGACTGTTGATTTGAGTCATGTTAGTTAGTGTTGGAATTCAGGCAACAACTGTGATCAGTAGTCAAAAACATGCAGCTGGCAAGTCCCCAAAAGGACGATCACGACTCCTGGATTCCATTGCTAGCTACATTACATCTATTGTATTAAACTGGTTGGGGATGTTATGTGCCACAATTAGCGGTGGTGTCCAATCATTCATTCATCACTCCAGTTTCCGAGTCTCAGTATTATCTCATACTTATTCTACAAACCTATTACGTTTCTCGAAGCTAGTTCTCCGTTTTATTGTGATTATTTACTACAGTCATTCCGATTCGTTTGCTATTCATTATTTCTAATTTCATCTTTGATATACCAACGTGATACGATATAATAACCTGTGCCCAACCACGTTTCTGTTACGCAACACACGAACCGTGACTGATTCATTGACCGATCCACTTTGTCCTGAGGAATTACCTGGCATAAATAACTGTCAGGTGACAAATAGTTTCCTTCACGATAAAACAAAGTCATATTTAAAATTATCAGTGCCAAAGACTAAGTTTTCGCTAGCATTAACTATGAACGTTTCTTGTAGATAGATTTTCACTGATTGCTTCTCTATAATGTTAACAAATTATAGGGTAGCGGGAAAATGCAAGCCAAATCTGTCAATATCTCTAGTTCATCATTCTTAAAATGCCCAACATCTACACCACATTTGATAAATGGTCGTTCTGAAGCATCATCAAGATGGTACGATAATGGCATTGTGTCGATAACAATTCAAGAGTCGTCAACAAACTCAACTATGAACCATTCAAATAGTTTGTTGAAACCAAGACAGAAAACACCAGTGAACAATCGCCGCTTGAAATAAATGAAATCCAGTGAATGATGATTAGTCATCTGTTGTATCTCCAAATTTGGCATTGACAATGCTACTCTTGTTTAGTCGATATTATCAAATACGTTTAATCTATCTGATTTTCAACAATACAAGAGTCCGATTTTACTGTTTCTCATTCATACTGTAGATTCAGTCAAGCTTATTGATGAAAAGAAATGTGCATTCATTATTCTTATCATATCATAGTCTGAAAAGTTCGGTCGATCATCATAAAACCTTATTTGATGTTAGGTGGCTATAACTAGCCGTTTCGATGCTCACATTGGCTCAGAATTTCATGTCACTTGGCTTTCATTAATGAAATATGCACATTATCCTGAATCAAATGATACTTCAATCCAGTAAGATTCAAACTGGCTTTCCTAAATATCTACTGACACTAAGGGGTTATAGGCATCAGTTTAGAGGAATTTTAAGTTAGAAGAAAACAGTTAAGCGAAAAATATACAGTTCTGACTAACGGACAAGATTTAAGTTGGAGTGTCATGGAGTTCTGAACAAACGTCAAGGTGCAATGGTGGAAAGCTTATTTCGTACGAAAAGCTAAGTAAGAAAGAGGTAGAACCTACCATTATTCATTCAGTATGACGTTTAACACTGATTATTACGAGGACAGCAGAAATAAGGAACTAACTTGAACGTTTCTTAAAATAACAATGAGAAAGTGATTAATTTGCGATGTAAAAGGGAACACAAACAAATACATTTAAGGTTTTCACAAACCAGGAAGATAGTAGGTGGATTTGTGAGACAACTTAAAGGTTTCTAGTATATGAAATCATGCAGAAACTGTACATGTATTTATCATCATGGCTACCAAGTATTATTCCGTACTCGATTCTAAATATCGCTACTAACTTCATAACTTAACCTTCACTCCTAATCCGACCATTTCTCGAGTTGTCTAAAGAATAGTGCTATCATATCACCTGCATTCTCAGTGAATAATATTTAGCTCTGGACTCTCATGGTAATTTGAGAACCACGGTAGGTCACCAGTGGAACACATCCCTGTCAACAATTACTCAGCAAACTAATATCACTATTAGAATGATTCGCAACATTGGTGAATAGACTAACGTCTTAGGGTTCCTCGCTGAATGAAGTAAAGTAGTCTATCAACGTCACTGTAAGAAGAACACAGATAATCAACGAAAAGTTGGCTTTCGAATAATTCGTCTGTTTTCAAACGTTCATCGTTATTTGGTTTTGTTTGGATTAAAGTGTCTACATCCAAGAGATAGAAACAACAGAAATAGTAAGATATTACGAAATAGATAGACGAAATGAGAATACCCCTATTATTCATATAAAAGCATAATTAAATAAATTTACTTGTGAGCGCTTGTCCATGTACACAAAAACGAAATGAAGCAATACAATTAAAATACCAAGTTTAAGAAAAATCAATTTAATTGAAGATTGAACTAGTTTCCCCATGTTCTTCAGGAAATACAAATGTTCGTTAAATACGCAGAGAAGTAAGGAGCATAAGGATAATTGAACATTGAGTCTAAATTGTTTGTTTATCATCCATTTAACAAGTTGCCTAAATCACCACGCATCCGCCTTTTTCTTGGAATGGATTATCTTTCTTACTCGCAAATCCTGAAACAAGACAATCTTTTTCTCGATTCTGCTCCATATACACAATCATTTCTTGCACACATTCAGAAACAGGACGACGATTTAAATTTGCTTCTTGACGTAGTTGTTCAACTAGTTTACGTTATTGGCTCAAAGTTGAGATGGTTTGTATTTTGACTGGACTGTTACTTTTGTCTGATGAGAATCCTGGAAGACGAAGAAGCAAAACAGATCAACATGTAGGATAGATGAATATTGTAGTGTTTTGAACATAAACATTTAAAGGTTATGACTTCCATTTCGGATAGGCAGAAGTCAGATAGTGAATAGATCACTAGAATGAACGCTGTTCTGCGTACCTGATCGGACCAGCGTAGCAGTATCATCCGATGGCTGTCAACTGTTTATTGTGAATATTTATCCGTACTTGGAGGAGAGTGTATTTATCAATAACTGTCAACACTAGCTTAACTGTACTTGGTGAAATCGGTAACATAAATCAATCTGAGGAGCTTCATTGAAGCACTCTGAGGCACTTAATACACAGATTCTGATTACGTTGTGTTGTAGAAGTTGATAAATACACTCGTGGTCTATCAAAGATACTTACATAACTAGTGAACATTTACATGCAGTGTACTAATAAATTTTAACAGATTAGGATATTAAGGTTAAATTGTTCAGTTTGTAGTTTATATTATGGACTTTCGTTGATCGGATAATTCTGTTAACCGTCTAAGCTTAATCTCAATAAGTGCTATGGATATCCAATGTTAAGTAATATTCCAAGACGAAGCAGTTGTCACTGCTCCCTGGTTTCAATGATTATTTCATTTAAACTGGAAATTCAGGTCAGATTATTATCGGATAATTCCTTTACGATGTACTACACAATAATCCTTTCGCTTAGTTATTCCCCTAGTTGAATACTTTAGTAATTCAAGCAGTTGATTATTATTTTCTGGATTAGGATTTCAACACTGTTCCGTGTAATCCGCTTCGAATAGCTCAGCTATCATTGTGATTAAGTTTTATTGTAGAAATCTTATTGTCTATAAGTAATCCATAACTATGAATATCACAGTTCTACAGTAGTTTACGCATGGCAACATCTCAAATGATGATACTCTGTCATATTCCATTCAAACAATGGAGAGTGCCAGAGATTTTCTCTTAAACACAATAAAATAATGCTAATAACCATTCGAATCACAGAACACATTGGTCAAATCATTATTCAACTTACTGAATCTAATTGAATCACAAGTTTCCAAATTGTGAAAATGAATAAATAAATCGTCACATTAACTTTTCATTATTATTTATTCAAGGGAAAAATATTCTTTCTTCCTATCGATCAATAATCTTGAAAGAGGAAGAAGGGAAGGTAACAAGGACGACTGATTCATCCAATCAAAATACAGAAGATGAAATCAATAATCCAATTTTGATTGGTGGAATTTCATTTTAGAAAATCGATCAATCATTGGATGAATGTCTACATGTATATTGATTATATTCTCATTCACAGGCAGCTGCAGACATACTGTGTTCTGTACTACTGATATTGACTGATATAAGTAGTGTGTATCACCGATCAAAAGAGGAAAGCCTGTCAGCAGAATCTTAATAAGATCGAAAGGAAGAAAACGAGAAGACAGAGTGATTGGTATGTAAATGAAGGGACAATAAATTCTGAGAGAATCAGTGGATAGTTTGAAAATGGAATATTTACTGTATTATTCTCAGATTTTACCATGATATTTTGTAATATCTCATTGAGATGTATTCGGTTGACTCGACTTGTGTTCTCGTCCACTCTCATACAACATGAATCTACTTAAACCATGACTGACTAACTAACAACTCTTAAGCATAACAAATGTTATTTATATAAAAATATGCTGATTACATTTTATAGCTAATCGGTTATATACGAGAATCATTAACTAAGGTGTATTGTGTTTAGTTGTGTAGTTATGTGATATATTACAGCAACGAGAGTCCTTCATGGCTAATCAGTTAACATTCGTTTACGTTCTCACTAGAGCAAAATCAAACCAACACATTTTCTGTATTGTGTGATAATGAAATAATCAATTAGTCATGTGGTGCGGGTTACTTATATCCACATCAGTAGTATATAATTGTCGTCAGGCATAGTATGTATTTCAGCAGAAGTCCATGAATGAGAGAACGTGAATGGAAGGCGATTGGTATAAGAACGCATGAACAATGAAATCTAAGACAATGGATTGATATTTGCGAAAGGAACAATCATGTTTGACGTGATGGATTGATATTTTGCAAATTAACTATTTACTATATGGTTC